ATACAGGGTAGTAGTAACTGAATACAGGGTAGAAGTAACTGAATACAGGGTAGAAGTAACTGGATACAGGGTAGTAGTAACTGAATACAGGGTAGAAGTAACTGAATACAGGGTAGAAGTAACTGGATACAGGGTAGTAGTAACTGAATACAGGGTAGAAGTAACTGAATACAGGGTAGAAGTAACTGGATACAGGGTAGAAGTAACTGGATACAGCCCGTACGAACACAGCAGTGCTGCAGCAGCGCTACAACAGTTCTCTTTTTAGGATGCACAGCGCTCTGACATCGTTTAAGTAGTCGTACTGCATCGCTTAAGTAACCACAGCAAAATAGTATACACTGCGCTACCGTTGCAAAACATTGCAGCGAAAAAGCATCGGCAATGCAGCGCTTCAATCCGCTGCCTTTTAGCTGCTATTTGAATTCAAGTAATCCATCACGGAGATAAATTTACAAAACGCTACAACACGATACTTTAAGGTTGCACCATCGCTGCAGAACGAAACCTGCTTCTATAAACATACTGATATCTGTATATATATGGAAAATGAATTTTATTTCAATTATTTCCAAAGTATACCAAAGAAAATAAAATTAAACAAAGCTTAAGAAATTGATATATGTGTTACTAAAGTAATTATAAAATGTAAATTATTACCTTATCGCAACCGCAGGCTATCTACTTCGAACCTCCGCACTTCGTGTGCATATAGACTGTCTGAATTCGGATTTCCTAGCGTTTTTGTCGAGTTTAAAAACAAATACAGAGGAGATTTTGAAGGTTTTACTGCAACACATTTTTCTAGTTAGGAGTTTAAGACATTCTAGAGACATGCTGCCCATCCGTCGCTGTCATTACCTCGGTCAACTCACGCAAGAAGTTGAGAATGCAATGCTAACAAGTCAGCGGATAACTGCAGCAGTATGTTTTTCGGTCTGTTGAATATGACACTTTTAAAGTCATCTAAACGATATTTTCATGAACGACTAAAATAAAAAAAACAACACTGGAAGTGAGCAGAGAAACATTATAAGACTCTTTGTCTTATTAGAACTTTATTTTAATATGTAATAAATACATCATCATTTCATCATGCAGTACCTCAGGAATTGTGACGTTTAATTTTAACTAATAACTTTCAAAACTTTCTTTTGCGGGTTTTTCTTGAAAACCACACCTACAATAGTCTAGTCTTTCTCAATCATGTTTGGGAAAACACATACGAATGCCTTATCTGGGAAGTCATCTGTCTCCATGTAAATACATTTCTGTATAATATTATGAATGCCAATTGCAATACATTCCCCTTTTTCTGCCCTTGCCGTAATAGTTACGTGACTTGCTGTTCCACCCGTTAGGGTATCCTCAATAATAGATTCATTCAATTTCTCAAGGGTTTGTATTATAGCTACATTGTGAAACGGACACACGCATTCCGGAGAGCAATCTGGGGAGCCACTACAGGGTGCTTGATATTGCAGATACTCGCGAATTGCTGCAAATTTTTGGACTGTCTCCATCTTTCCCCTTTTCATAGTCAAAGCATTGTATTGAATTACATAACTATTGCGACTGTGTACCCTCTCATAGCCTGAAGAGTGGTACATGCCATTACCAATTTTAAGTCGATAGAAAACTCGGCAGGTTGTCGTCTCTGGTATTGCACCTAAAAAACTCGTCATAGCTTGAAATACATCGTAAGACATCTGCTTATTAGTTACTTTGCCGACAGCAAACACATTCGGCGCGATGCAAAGCTCATTTTTAGGCATGCTTGTCCCTGTCAATTTAGAATAAAAAATATGAGAATCACTTCCTTGTACGAGCAGTTTCGATAAGGCCGGAAGGGCCCTGTTTATGTTAACAGCACTTACTATTTGGAAAACAATATTTTGAGAACCATGAAAAAGCTTTAGTATTTCCCCATTTAGACTTTCAAACGGAAATGTGGAATGTGTCCATAGTGGACCAAGGTTTCTAACGTCCTCACCCAAATGAAGGAGAGCATGCAAATTTGCAGTTTGATATCTCTCACTATACAATTTTGGAAATTTTAGACAAAAGTGCTTTAGCAATCTTTCTGCGTGATCTATTTGGGCATGCGTGACATTACCTAGACATAATATAAATATAGCTTCGCTAAATAACATGAAGTGTTCGTAGTAAACGTCCGGCAGAATACCTCTCAGGACTATAGCACCATAGAATAATAGAAATGCTCTAAGTTCGTTTGCCTTCCAATACTTTCGATGACCTTCGATGGACCTAGGGCACCTTGAAATACGATTTGGAGGCTTCAATTCGCTAATACGCTTATCTGCATCTTCGACGCGATCTGAAATGTTAAAGGGCTCTCCTTGGCCTCCTTTCGAAGTAAACCAAAGCTCTAATAGAAGCTTCATGACCCCTTCTAGGACGCAATGCATGTAATCTACAGCAGTACCTAATATTATGTCATGATGTTCCAATGCTGCAAACCAACTAGGCCCTCGTACACCATTGATCATCGTTTTCTGTACGACTGCCTTCTGGGCGTCACTCATGAATCCCTCTTTTGTCCTTTTTGGGCCACTTGGGTCTGTCTCATTAAAAGGGTACACAAGTACATTTCCACCTTTTGCAGTTTGTATACTTTTTCCTGATTGTAAACATCGTAAACAGCCATAATATCCATTGAATTGTATGCTGTTACACACTAAGCATCGAGCTGGTAAATCACATGTTCCGCATAGCAGAATTGCACGAACGCTTATTTTCTCTCCGCTTGGATTTACAATGTCAATACCACTTGTTTCTAATTGGTGAAAAACTGTATGAAACGGTTTTAAGTATGTCAGCATGAAGGGCTTATCAGGTCCGAACCACATGCCAGCTAACAACATATTGTCTTTGCTGAAGCGTTGTTTATATGGCAATTCGTTTATTGCAAGAAATATTGGCCACAAAGAGTATTTAGAAGACTTGAACACTGGCACTCCATCAGTGTTGTATATAAATGAAATATTTCTATAGTCTCTCAGAAAACCAGATTCCCAGTGTTTGCGGTACAAAGCGCCGTCGTATATGTCTCCTAAACCATTAAGGTTTATTCTGTTGAATCTATAAGTTGTAATTATTTTCCAAATAGAATCCTGTTTAAAAAGATCTTGTAGTTGACTCACAATAGGAATTTCAATAAAAAATGATTTCTTTCCGACGCCTTTTAACGATTTCTGGCATAAAGAATTTGGACAAGTTTCGACTGTTTTGTCTTTGAGGTATAAAAAGCAGTGTGAACAGTAATGATGAAATACCAATGGGGATTTTACATTGGCAAAGTGCTGTTTGAACTTGTATAAATTTTCTGTAAAAAAATTAGGTGACATGCAATGTAGGCTAATAAGTGTGAGTATGTCACTCAGTGCTTCTCCAGACAGTCCATGTCGCATTGCGACAGTCATGATCAAAAGTGTGCTGATACCAACAGTTATTGGGCAACCTTCATACAGAGGCTGGTTTTGTTTCGTTGATTCGAATTCGTTGTCCTTATCGGCTATCATTTTCTCTAGATTCCCCAAAGTGTCAAATAATTCTGAATCTTCGTTATCTGTTTCATTCATTCCTGATGGACATTCTACACTTTCCGCGTTAATTTTGTTTAGTTCGTCGTGATATAAGTCATCCAATTTCATTGCATGCTGCCTTAGCAAGCTCTCTGAAAATTCAACGCGATTTTCTCCTTCACTTCCAACATTTGAGGCATCTTCTGTGAGGGTAGAATATTCATCTTGCAATCCGGGTATTTCAAGTTCATGACTTTCAGCATTATTTTCAAGCTCAAAAAGATGATCGTTATTTTCTCGAATATCGTCAATCTCTGGCTCAACACTAACACGAGATCGTTTAGCTTCTGTTCCATGATCGATATCATGATCACAGTGTAAATTAGCTTGATCTACTGTTTGTTCTATTCGTGCTACTTGATCTTCCATGAAGTTTGATAAATTGGTCACTGTCTCTGCAATACCCTCTTCAGTGATTAGAGAAATACTTCTTCCAATATTAGAGACGAGATCACTGGGATTGTCGGTGAGATTTTCCATTTCGTTTTCTCAAACTATCGAGTTATGTTCTTTCTTCAAATCTTCAAATGTGCAAGGCAGATAGCTAATGGCAGATCCGTAGCAACGAATGCGTGTTGAACACTTATCGCAAAGGGGATTGATAGTTTCCGGCATTAGCGGGTCACGTAACTTGTCATTCAAGAGAATTTGAATGTTTAATTAATGTTTAGGTAATTTTCTAGTTATATCATGAACCACCACTTGCACTCTAAGGTATTTGAAAGTCTGTCCTTTTCCATCACGAGACTAATATTTATGATCGCGTGTACCGAACAAAATTGACTTTTGACAATTGATAAGATTTGGAGAACAGATACGAGTGGACCCAAATGCACATGTTGCCACATTACTATTAACCCGTTTAAAAGAAACTAATTTGATTATCCCAGCGAGGACAAAAGTAAACATATTCGTTTTACGAGAAATATATAACTTGATTGAAAGCGCTGGCATGAACTAGGAATTTCGAATAGAGTGTTGCAGTTGAGCTCGTGAAATCACGCGAGGAATTTCAAAAATCAATTATGCTTGTCACTTTATTTGTCGCTAATACTATTATTCCTGTCAGTGGCTCGTATGACATTTCATATGCACTGCTGTACTATTGGCTGGCCCGAAATTGAAATCGAGGCAATTTTACCTTGCGCGCTCAAATTTGAATTGAAACTGAAGAATTAATCGAGTTGCATACAGGCCGTGCAAATTGAAGAAGCTTTCAAACTGTTACTAGTTTTTCAATCATGTCGTTACAAGATATTGCTAGTGAGCTATTGAGCCTTGATGTACAGGAGCAAGTGAAGCCCCAGTCTGAAAAAGGACAAAAGTCCACTACAAAATATGCAATCGTTTACTGGATCCAAACGAAGGAATTTAACGTTATGCCCCTGTCCAAGATCCCGAAAGCCAACCGACAAGAAGGAGCATCAGCTACTTTAAAAGCTGAAGGAAAAGAATGGTTAACGAAGATTGTCAAAATCGGAGGTGAGTTGAATGTTGAATATCTTAAAGTTTTGTAAATTTCTTGTATAATGATAAAGAGCGGGAAAAACATTCCCTTTGTCATTGTGTTATGCCTATACTAACGAGTTATATAAAATCAACTGCGTAAAATGTTTGGACAAAATTGAAAAAGGGCTAAAGCTGGCTGTGCATGTGTTATTATTTCTATATAAAAGTATTTTCATGCATTATGAATAAAAATACCTTGTTTGGCCCCAACAAGATTCTGTTGAGATTTTAGCGTGATCTCTAGAAGACACTAACATATCCAATGTCACCGAGGTCACGCCATTTGGTCCAAAATTGAATAAACGAAGTAGAAAAAAAACCAGCTATACTCTGTATTCATTGATTTAAAATTAAGACATTAAAAAATAATTTTCATACTTTTCGCGTTATTTATGTTATAGATAATAAAACTGCCGTAACTACAGCGATGAATGAGCTCATTGAAGCGGCATTTAATCATAATCAGGATAGTGTTATAGATACAACGTCTGAGACGGATAACTCACCAGTGCTCAAGACGAAGAGACAAAGAAAAAGGAAACTGTCCTACGACGGGGAAAATAATGCTCCTGAAAAATCAACAAATAAAAATCCCAGCAAGAAAAGCGAAAAATCCCAGGGAAAAGAAAGAAGCAAGGAGACTGAGAAAGAAAACGCTCCGCAAAAAAAGAAGCAAACAAGCAAGAAAGAGAAGGAAATAGCCAAGGCTCGGGCTGCCCAGGAAGCTGCCACAAGTTTTTTCAAACAACATTTGAAGCCCCAAACAATACCACCCACACCCTTTGGATCACAATCCAACTTCAACCAAGTCAGTCTGGCGAACAATTACACACCACCAAGCTTTGCACAGACGTCCCACCAAAACCCGGGCAGTCTGATGAACAACACGCCACCAAGCTTTGCACAGACGTCCCACCAAAACCCGGGCAGTCTCACGCTGATGAATAACACGCCAACAAGCTTTTCACAGACGTCCCACCAAAACCCGGGCAGTCT